CATGGATACCTGGCCAATAGATCGACGCATACCGCTATTTCTCATTTCACACAGGTACTATTGAGACACTTGGAGGCAGGTGATATGGGGCTTGGCATATTTTTGGACCTTTCAAAGGCATTCGATTGCCTAGACAGAAGCATGCTTCTGCAAAAACTCTTTTTGTATGGAGTAAGGGGACGCGCTTTCGAGTGGTTTCGATCATATCTGAGTCAAAGGTCTCAAAGGGTTGTTATCCAGAAGGATGGCATACAGCACAAATCAGATATATCGCAAAATACAGTAGGGGTACCTCAAGGCAGTATATTAGGTCCAGTTCTTTTCATTATTTTTGTAAATGATCTAAATTTTCAAATACACAACCCAAATCTCAGTATTACACAATTTGCAGATGACACAAATTTGTTAGTGAAAGTATCTAACCTTCCTGAGCTTACTGAGAATGCAGAAATGCTTTTAAATCAGCGGAAAATTGGTTTGAAGAAAATAGATTACATCTAAATAAGGAAAAAACCAATATAATTCTGTTCAGAACCAAACTGAGTAAAATGAAAAAACCTGAGTCTATAATAATCAATGAATGTAATTTTGAAATAAGCAAGAGCACTAAATTTTTGGGTATGCATATTGATGAGTTTTTGGACTGGTCTGAGCATATTGATAATCTGAACAGGAAATTAAATACAATATGTTACTGCATGAGATTTGTTTCAAAATATTTGGATAATACATCTAAAAGAATACTGTATTTTGCGAACTTCGAAAGTACTGCTAGATATGGAATAATTTTTTGGGCCTCTAGCTCTAGGGCTCAAGACATTTTTGTTGTTCAGAAACGTACTTTAAGAATAATTTATAAGATGTCATTTTTACAAACATGTCGGGGTGTATTTAGATCTAAGAGGATTCTAACCATATATGGTTTGTATATATTTGAAATTATCATGTTTGTTTTTAGAAACAGACGAACCGTTTTTTCTGTCAATATTAACCATGGATACAACACTCGTACAAACGACATACCTTTTCCAATCCATCGTTTGACCCTATCTGAGAAAAGTCCCTACTATATGGGTGTCAGACTTCACAATAAATTAAGTAATGACATAAAAAATACAACAAATGAAAAACATTTTAAGCAAAAATTAAAGCAGTTTCTAATTAATCTTGAGCCCTATAATATTGAAGAGTATATGAATAGCTAGGAATGAGTAGTGTAATCCTATGATATTGATTGTTTGTAGAATTTTTTTTCTTTTTGACGTCATTCAATTTATGTTTATTTTTACAGTACTTATTGTATGAATTTGTGTAATTTGAAATGGAAATAAATAAATAAATAAATAAATAAATAACAAAATAAACTGTAATTAGCTCGAAAATATTTCAAATAAACTCAAGATAAACCAACAAACGTCAAATTTTCCACGCTCGCCATATTGAAAAATCACATGGTTTGGAGAGCCTAAAGCCGATTAAACACGATGGAATATTGATAACCGCGGTTATATCTTTGGTCAGTCCTTTGGTTATCCTTGAAACAGCGATTGTCGACCCTTTTTGATTAACCTGAGAGAGCTCGCGTTTATGCTATGGTTATTCCGTTAACCCCATTTTTTTTGTTTATTCCGTTCTGTGCTGTCTTGTGATTGTTTTTTTGTTGAATTTTTACCTGAAGTACAGTACTACATAATTATTATTTTTATTATTTAGTGAAGTTTAGTGTTGACCTAAATCAAATCCTCAAAGATTGATTTTTCGATTGGTTCGAAGTTCATTTTTGGGGTTGCACAAAAAACAACACACAAAACACCACAGAACAACGAAAACCCCGTCAAAATCCGCCATATCGGGTATTTCTCCTTTATTTACTTTTTCAGACAAGGACAGAACATAATAACCTAGCTCCAAAGGTAGGTTAAAAATGGTTGAACCAAAGATAAAAACAGCTGATTTAATAGGTCACAAAGGGCCAAATGATGACGTCACTATGGAATGATCAAAAATAACCAAAACCGCGTTTACGTGAATGGTTATACCATTTTTAACTCGGTTATTAAAATTCCATCGCGTTTAATCGGCTTAATATAGTCCAACCACAGCCTCCTACATTTAACAAGCCATGAAGTTAAAAAGGCAACACCGCAATCTTACCGCCAAGTGGTGCTGGTGGTGTTTGTTTGTATAAATATATATTTTTTATTTTATTATTATGAAGCACAAAAAATGCATAATTTATTGTACTAAAGGGCCAAAAACAGTAATTCAATGAATAATTTAACTATTTGTGTAAATAAGAACAGTAAATAATTGATTTAAATGAATATATTTCTAGATTCTAAAGTGTTATAAGCCTATGTTTCAGTATATCTTTTGAAAATCTAACTTTTTCTTTCTTCGGGATTTTTTCGGAAGGCAAGTCCATCAAATACTTGAGCTGATTTTCGAAAATAAGAGGTACCTACTTTTAAGAGTTGGACGTTTTAGTTTGAACTCTCGAACTACACCTTTATCCTTGTTTGTTTCAAATCTAATTATTTCGGTTTCTTCAAAATGTTTACAACACACCACAGAATTTTTCGTTATTGTATAATCTCGGGTATAATTATCTTGGTGTATTGCTTTCATCCACATTTTTTGCACTTCAGAATTTTTTTGGAAATAAAAATGTTTGCATTTCTTCAGTTTTTAAGGAACTCCTAATAGTTCGATTTGCACCCAGGAACACAGTAGTTTCATGGCATCTGGAACAAGTTTAAATATCTTAGGTAATATATCGAGAACTATGCTCTTGCACAATATTAATATTGTTTTTATTGTTTTACCTTACCTTACCTTCATTTTTGCTCCTGTACCCATTTGCTAAAAATTTGCAATCAAAGCACAAAGGAACAGGTATCAACTAAATATGGGCAATATATTGGTGTGTTTCTATCCACTTTTTCGTCAATAATGCCCATAAAAATACTAAATTGCAACAATACACAATGAAAGCAATACACAGAAACACATAACCCAATAACAAAATAGCACCATACGCGACGTTGCCGTCATTTCCAACTTCGTGGCTTGTTAACTATAGGAGGCTGTGGTCCAACAAATACCATTTTAAAGTCACGTGATTTTTCTCTATCCTTGTTGAATACATCTCAAACAGTGGTGATAGTAAAATTGACAAAAAAACTGCTGTCTAATTATTCTTCATAATATTCTTACCTGAAATAGAATCCGTCACTGTCATCAATTAGTTTGTCAAAGTTATTTTCGAAAATAATACAATGAACAAACACAGCTAATAATTTTGACTATATTAACCTTTTTCCAACTCGAAAAGAAGCAAATAGAAAACGGGTACCCAGTTTAAGTTCAGAATGTATTACAACAGACAGCAGATACGACAAAAGTGGGTCTCGCAACAATTGCAAGTATTAAAATTGCCCTCTGATTGGTTAATACTACTTCAGAAACGCGTTTGTAAAATGCTAGTGGCTAGTGGGAACATATCCTAAAATTCAATAGTAATTAATCACCAGTAGCATTTTGTAGGTGATATGAACGACATAATCAATGGACATACGTTTTTTGCCACCAGTATCACGTGACTTTAAAATGGTATTTGTCGGACTTTAGCTTGCACATTTTTGTTTTGGATTATAATGTTCTTTTTCGAATTCTGTGGGTCAAGAAATTGAAGAATTTTTGTTTTTTTTTTCCTAAAACGATTAGGTTTTGATATAGGTACAGTGAGCACGTAAAGGTTGGAATAAAATCTATAAAATATACAGAGTGGATATTTATCAAAAAAACTCAAACACATCAATTTTTCATTTTATTGGCCATTTTTTTGATGATAATACCATATATACAGGGTGATCCAAAAACAAATTATGACTGCTAACTTTATTTTTTTAAATGAAAATACCAATTTTTAAGCCCAATTTATAAACTCACAGTCGGGATTCCGTTTGCGTTTGCGTCTATGGGATTTCTGATATTAATGCAGCAAAATAGGGTGAAAAATGTTTCAATTTTTTTTTTTTAGGTAAAACCAGATTAAACCTTTATGATATCATTAGATGCGTTATTGGACATACGGAATGGTGTTTATGTAAGCTAATTTAATTGATTTTCGAGGCCCATTCAGTTTTCCAGTTTATCCAGATCATCAACAAGCAACACCTTACTTGTGTCATCCTATCTGAGAAGTATGCTTCCATTGCTAATCCATAAGTACTTATAATTATTTTCTCTTTTGTAGGCTTTTGCTGCCATATAAAGATCAAGATTGGTTTTTGTTAAGTCATGGTTTAAATAAATTTTCTTATCCTGCGTATAGCCTAGGTCTTGACTTTTCAGCCCAAATCTAACTTCAGACTTCATGAATGCCATTTTTGTATCATTCTCTTTAAAGATCACCTTTATTGCACTCTTGTTATTTAATTTTAATTTAATCCGTGATTAAAAATTCCAATTGAATTTAATCTCTGGTTGAATTCAAAGTTGGTGTCAAATTATAGTTTATGGAAAATCAAGAATGTATGATCGGTTCTGTTCTAAAATTAACCGTTTAGGTTCTACACCTACAGCCTATCAAAGTTGCAAGAAAGTCAATTTTCAATTGTCAATATTTCCAAAACAATTGGAGATAAGTATAGGTCATGATGCATGAAATAGGTTCAGAATTTAATGTAGAATTTGAAAATGAAATAGAAAATTGGTGTTGTTATTTAAAAAAATAAAGTTAGCTGTCATAACTTGTTTTTGAGTCACCCTGTATACATGGTATTATCATTAAAAAAACGGCCACCAAAATCAAAAATTGACGTATCCGAGGTTTTTTGAAAAATATCAACCCTGTATATTTTATAGATTTTATTCCAACCTTTATGTGTTCACTGTATGTAATTATTGGTTTTTGTCCCAAATATAATGTTATAGAGAAACAATCATAAAAATTAATTCACTTGAATCTTACAATATATTTTTTTTTTCAATTACAGGTATCCAAAGAAGACCAATTACCCAAGAAAATATGTGATATTTGCTGGAACAGGTTGGACTTGTTTTATAAGTTCCAGAACACTTCTTCAGATGCAGAGAAGACTTTATCGTCTTGGCTAGCCCAGGCAAGCCAAAAAGATGACTACCTAACAAGTGACGCTTTGACAATTGCTGCCAACCCCATAGAAAATTTAATCAAAGTAGAAACTGAGGAAAAACCTTATTTGGATCTTGCTCAACACTCTTCTATTGATGAGGTAGGTACCAATGACAAACCTTTGAATAAATGGGCTCTTTCACTAAAATTTAAATACGTAATTTAAGTATAAAATCTCAAAGGAGGGACTATTTTAGGCATATATACCAAAAAAAAATGTTCTACAAGGTTCAATAAGTTTTTCATAGGCAATCAAAAGTGCCTAAATTCAAACTATTTTAAAACGCGCCGATTTGCCGACGTCACATAAATATTCTTCATTTCGCTTATGTCGTTGCAAGGAGGAAGGGCTCGGCTGTGTTTGCGCTCTGTAAAGATACGTAAAGGTTCGAATGCGCTGTTGTCGGTTGTGACTAAATGTAGTGCAGCGTAAAATAAATAAAAAAAACTAAACATAAAAAATTGCATTAAATTGTATTTAAGCATAATTTAAAAAAAAAAATGTTATAAAATCTTGAATCTATAACTAATTAATTTAACTACTTTTCATGAGATTTTGCCAACATTTCAGAATTAAATCTATTACAAATTTTCAATGTTGACAATTAGTGGCAACACGGTCAAATTGCGAGCTGCGACGTCATAGAAATAAATTCTGGGTTTTTATTTGGAGGTATTTCTTTGTTTTCTGTTTTCTCAAGAAGGACTTTGAATTTTTCAAAAGTAAAAATACAGAAAATTCTGTTTTTAGTTGCTTTATCCAAATATGCCAATTTCAAAAATTAGTGAAAGAGCCCATTGAAATACTGATGTAATTTATAATTTCAGGAAGCCGAAGAACCACCCGCGAAACGGCCGCGCCGCTCAGCTGCCGCAAAAGCACTGATTAATATTGCCCCAGAATCTGACGAAGAAGATGAGGATGAACCTAATGACGACTCAGATCCTGTGTTTGCCCCGGAATCTAATAATGAAGATGAGGGTGAAGTGAAGGAAGACCCAGATACCGTGTTTGTTGTGGAATCTGATGACGAAGATGATCAAATGATGGACGAGCCGGATACTGTGGATGCTGATGCTGTTGTGAAACAAGAAGATGATAGCGAAGAAGACTGTAAACCTGGAACTAGTGCCTTAGATCAACCCGGACCATCAGGCCTTTGTCAGCAGGGAGCTGACGAGCCGTAAGTATCTCTTTTATTTCAGTAGCATTTTTATCTTTGATAGTCTAGAACATACATTTTCAACTGGGTACCCTTCACTATTTCCATTGAATACAGTTTAATTTCCTTCCTGTTGTAGTTCTCGGTCCAAATTAAGTTAAAGTTAAAAGTAAACCTTTGTGGGTTTTATTTTTTTTTTATTGTTGCAGTTGCGGCTTTTCATCACTTTTCAAACTAAAGTCAAACCAGTTTCTATAAATTACTGATTTTTTTTTTCTTTTTTTTTCTCGAGTCGTTAGAGCAATAAAATTTTTGCCTGGTTATTTTTTTAAATTATAACTGTCTGCACAAAAGTCTTACTTGAGAAAAATGGGCTACATTTTTTTTGTGTCACTATTACTTTACTTTTGGTGGCATTTTCAAGATGTACGTTTATTTTTCTACTGGTTTTTGTGTCAATTTTCTTGTATTCATTACCTAAATGTGCTAAGGGTATCTGGGCAAACCTTTTTTGACCTAACAATCCAGTCCCAATGGATGCACCCGAGAATGAACAATATTTTGCAAGATTTCGGTCAGATTATTAAATAATTTATTGAATACATATAGCAAATTTGAACAAAAAATCACATGACTGAAAACGCAGTCTCATTGGCTAAAGGCTTTAGGCTAAAGCTGATATTCATGATTTTGTTGTCATATTTAAAAATAAGAAATTTAAATTGGTTGAAAGATTAAACCTATGCTTTATTTTTTAATAATGTAGTACAGGATGAAAATAGTCTAGGTAGTGAGTTGTGTAATGATTTACCTACTTATGAGAAATTCGGAAACCTCGCATTTTCCATTAAGTGATATCACTTTCCAAACTTGCATTTTTGCAACAGTTTAAAATTTCGATTTTCGAATCGTTTTTATTTCCAAAAATAGGCGTTATTTTTTTTAAAATTTAGAATGACTAACACAACAATTTAAAAAATGTGAAAGTGACCCATTTTGCCCTGTTGATTTGTATGTCCAGACAATCTATAAGCAACATGGAATATTTGAACTAATTGTAAACTTAAATTATTTCATATTGGGATTTTTCCAAAAATATTCGTCTGGAAATTTATATTTCTTGATATTCCATGTTCATTGTTATGTTATTGTAGTATTATTGTTTAATAATGGTGTGGTGTACTACTGTGATTCACTAAGTTGTTGTTATTGTTTAATTTTTAAACAATGCATTTCATTGATTTCCTTAACACTATTTTGCTGTTAAGGTGTTTTCATTGTTCCACAGATTTCAATTGTTTCCAACTTGGGATTTCTACTGGGATTTTAATTGGGCAACATTTTTTTTTGTGTCAATTTTCTTCAATTGATGCTTCAAATGTTGCTCGAAATATTGCAGTCTCATCAATTTTGTTTCAAAGATTGTGATGGAAATGTCATTTTTATGGCTTTTACTAACATACTCTTGCCTTTGGTTTTTTTTTTGGCAAAAAAATTTGAATCCAACTACAACAGGTAAAAAGAGTTAAATATAATTTTGTGTGTTCTGTTTGAATGAATGGTAATTGTTTTTGTCTACCAAATCTGTGAATTTCAAATAGGGGTGAACAAAAATGCAGTGTTTTTAGGATGGAATTTTTAATAATGTCTATTTTTTTTAAAGTAATAACCTATAGTGATAACTTGAAATTTTAAATATTCTTAAAATTGTCTTTGCCTCCCTAAACAAAAATAGACTCTAGTTGACTTTTTTTATTTTGTTCAAGTTTGTGAAAAGTGAATAAAGTTTTAGGTGTTACAGCATGCAGTCTTTGCGCAAATCTGTAATCACCAGATCCAGGAGAATTTGTTCAGTTTTTCAGTGCTCTTCATACTGCACCCAAAACATTTCACTACATTCATTTCCAAAGGATAAAAATAAGTGTAGGGCTTGGCAAACTGCATTGAAAATTGGAAAGCCAATTACTAAATATATGCAAGTTTGTAGTCTGCATTTTACAGATGCCGATTTCACTCCTGGTACAAACAGAATAATGCATATAAAGATGAAAAATTTAATTCAATATATTTTCAGCAACTAATCAAAGAAGGCGTTTAAAAAAACTGGCAATTCCTAGTCAGAAAATCCCTCAGACTAAATATTGAGAGTAACAACAATTTTTGACATTTTAACATAACACAAAACAAAAGCTTATGCCATTTCATTATTGTTCACCCCTATACATGTTGGTAATTTTCACGAATAGTGTATTTCTTTTAGATGCGATTAACGAAATGTGAATTGCGGAGACCACTGTTATTGGTTGGTCTATTGTCAAGACAAGAGACATCTATGAGAGTTCAATACATATTTTGTGAATTTGCAAAATTTGAAATCGAGGTAGCGGTTTAATTTTTTGCGATTTTTGTTGTGAATTTTATGTCAGTGCATACATATTCCAAAAATGTGTGTTGTCTTCTGTTCCTTCAGTTGTTTTCTTTTCGCTCCATAAAAGTTTGTATCTATGAGAGGACTGAAGAACTCCGATTTTTCCACAACTAAATTCACATACGCAATTCAGGATTCGCATTTATATGATCTACACTTGACGAATGAGTTATATTGTAATAAACCTTTGCATTACAGCTATATTTTGCCTTCTTTAAGCAGCATATTCACTTTATATAAATAAGAATAACAGTAGAATTGAATCAGTTCATTTTGTACCTTCTTAAGCTGTTAAAAACTCTTTTTTAAAATTTTTCAAGATTAATCAGTCACATAATATTGTCGTAGTAAATCATTTTGTTGAAAAACGTCAAATTTTTTTCTTAAAATTCAATATTCAAATTTTGTTTCTGAATTTTATAGGAGCTCAATTTCCTCTTGATTGTTTTCTGATTTTTTAAAAGAACATTTTATTGTTTCAAATTTTTTATTCATTATGCATAAAAGTTAGTTTATGAGCCTCAAGAAAGAAGATTCTGTCGATGCCCCACGATACTTTGATGACAATCCAAAGATGCAACTTCATTAGTATTTAATAAATGGCTTTTTTTTTTTTAATTTGTGTTATTGTTTAATTTATTATTTGGAATTATTTCAGGGATATCAATTTCTAGGGCTGCTGATTTGGCTCTTGGCTGAATATTTTAGGTTTTCTTCTTTTGAAAAAGTATTGGTTTTCTTCTGAGAAAACTGAGAATTCAAACCACCAACTTATTCATGTTTAAAGTTGCTTGCTGAGGTATCTTCTCCAAGCAGTATTCAGATTTTTTTTGTTGCAAAATGACACATTAGGTTTTCGCCTGTGTGAATAAACACAATTATTTAGAGATACATTTGCAAGCAATCAACAAGTTTCTTCAAGACGAAGGTAAGTAGTTACAATAAGGTCAAATTTAACTCTCAATTCAACCTTCAACCTAAAAAACTTGACAGTTTATTTCTATATTTCCTTTCAACATTATCAGAAGAAACAAATCGCATTGGAAAATGGAAAACTTCAACTTTTTTTTATTTTTATTCCAAATATACATAATATTGATCCTATTTGCGTGAGCCATTTTTTATATTATCTTAGCTTAAATTATAAATAAAATATAAATAAATTTTATATAGATTTAAATCTCTTGAAATCCCTATGTAATTTCTTTGCAAATTATTTATAATTTAAGATAAAATATGTCAAAAATGGCTAACAAAAATGTGATCAATATACAGGGTGTTCATTTTGAAACTTCCCATCCCTATTATCTTGGAGTAGAAAATTTTTCGAAAAAATCCCTAAAAAACGTCAACTATAATTTGAGGGAGGGATGAGTTTTTATGCAAAATTCACCTACCCACTTTCAACCCCCAGCCCCCAGAGCGAATGGGAAGGGGGGCAAGTGATACATGATTTCGGAGGGTTTAAATTTTAATACCTAAGTTCAACTGTTTTGGAAATATTGACAGTTGAAAATTGACTGTTTTGTAACTTTGACAGGCTGTAAAACCTAAACGGTCAATTTTAGGGGAAAACCTTACCTTATATTTTCATAAACGTTTCATTTAACACCAACTTTAAATTTAATCGGAGAATAAATTTAAATTGGAATTTGCAATCATGGATTAGATTCAAAGTTGGTGTCAAATGATAGCTTATGAAAGTCAAGACAAAATACACGAATGTAAAATCGGTTTTCCTCTAAAATTAACAGTTTAGGTTTTACAGCCTGTCAATATTTCCAAAATAGCTGAATTGAAAACCCTCCAAAATGATGTATCACTTATGGCTGTTTCCACCAACTATTTTAGGGGAGCCCTAAGGATAAGTATTCCCTGGCCTAAAATGACATTTTTACATGGAGAAATGTCAGTTAAAGGCGTACCTATTGTTAGGGCTTCCCTAACATAGTTGGTGGAAATGGCCATTACCAATCTTCAAGATTTTCTAATGCCGGTTTTCCACCAAACAGACAAAACAAAAAGAAATCTCAAACTTTTCCAAAACTAGCGTATTTTAAGACAGTTGGAGTTTTGTTACCCCAAGAAAACAAAACGTAGTCCGCTTGATGGAAACAAGAGTTTTATGTTTATTTCAGTTTTGTTTTTGTTTTAAAACACAAACTCAACAGTCCGTTTAGTGGAAAACCGCCATAAGGAGTGATTCCGGTGGTTAGGGGGTTGAAAGGGGGGGAGGTAAATTTTGCATAAAAACTCATCCCCCTTCAAATTACAGTTGAGGTGTTTCAGGCAGGGATTTTTTCGAAAATGTTTCTATTCCGAGATAATGGAGGTGGTAAGTTTCAAAATGAACACCCTGTACTCTTCTCCTTTGCCTATTAGTTGTATTCCTTTCAAGAGCTTGAAACACTCGAGCTACTCGCTGCGGTGCTTAGTCGCCCCCGATTTGCAGGGAACATATGCGTGGTGCAACAAACACTTTTCGAATGGAATAAGCGCGTAAAGCCCCGGAGCTGTTTCGGAGCTCCTCCTAGGTGTGAAAGCAATACAACTATTATAGCTGGGTTCGGCTTGCTGACTCCGAGTGACTCCATTCGCACTCCAACCGTTCGGGTTAAGGTTCGCGTATTGCTTTTTACCATATTAGGGGTGACTCCATTAGCTCTGTTCACTCCTCTCCAATTCCGCGCTAAATAGCCGAACCCAGCTTATGTTAATCAAAATTAAATAATATTTTTATTCATAAATTCAAATTTTAAACTACGATGAGCAATCCTGCTGTAGTAGTGTGTATTATCCTTGGCTTTCTACGACATTAAAATTGGCTGCATTCACCAGAACCAAAACGGGTTGTAAACAATTCACAAATACCAACAGAATACGTTGGGTAAACTCTTGATTCTGCTGAACGATTCATCTTTTCAAAATCATAAGTTATATTCCTTTCATACCTAGGAGGAGCTCTGGAACAAGTGAAACAACTCCCAGGCGTTACGCGCTTATCCCTTTCAAAAAGTGTTTGTTGCACCTGAGGTGTTTTCTTGCGTCTCAAATGTTTTAAATTTAATTTTTAAACTACGACCTCTAGTGCAAATAGCTGACGACTTGTTAATGACGTCGGAAATGGTGACACACCAATATGGCGTCGATTACCAAAAACAACGAGGCCGATAAGCAATCCTTAGTAGTGTGTGTATTATCCTTGGGTGCAAACGGCGATAGACTCTTGAAAAGAAAAAATTAAAACGCCTATAATGGAACAGCAGGGGTGCGTTCGAAATCACCCTGGGCGTCACACCAAGTGCACACCCTATGATCTATTCATGGCTGGTATACACTGGGTGTGACGCCCAGGGCTGCGTTCAGGAATGGCTATAGCCAAGCCAAAACTGGCATTTTGGGTTCGAGTTCGGCTCCAACCTACGTGGTTCGGCATTACAGGTGGAGGGGGAAAAGTAGGTTTTGGCATTAGCATTGCCGTCCTTGAACGCACCCCAGGGTGATTTCGAACGCACTCCAGGGTTGCATTTAGAAATAACACTCTGGGTGTAAGAGTGACCCTAGAATAATTCTGAACCGTTCATAAATTAACAGGCGTCAAGGGTATGTTTTCATGCATCCGTCATACGATGATACGAAAGTGTTCCGATTGGTTGAATTTACGGCTTTTCATTGGTCAGGAAATTCAAACATTTTCGCATGTTTGGCAATTTACATGCATCCGACAAGTCAGTACGTACTTGTCCGTGTCCTTATTTAAATGTTGTAAATGACAAGTCCATTTTATATTGAATGTAATTAATTAAGAAATAAACTCAGAAGTTCGATACAATAGTTTTATTGAGTAATCAGCAGACAAAACAAATACTAAATCAAATTATGATTTATGAACACGAAGAAGTCTTGGGCATTCCAGGTTGACGTCATAACCGATCCGCCATTTTAACTGATGGAAAAGTTAGGTTAGAATAATACGTCAAAAATGTCAATTCATACGACGTATGAAAAGTTAAAATTATTTTTTCTACTGACGTTTCATAATAGCAACTTTTCGATTGTCATTTCAGTTTTGAAACGACATTCTTTTAGGCACTGAGTGCGTGAAAGTTACTTTTAAGCACTCAGTGCGTAAAAGTGACTTTTGAATGCGTAAAAGTGACTTATGAGTGCGTAAAAGTAATTTTTAAGCACTAGTGCCTAAAAGTGTCATTCATTATTCAGAAATAAAAAACACACTAAACACATATTTGAATTTTGTTTTGTATTTATTATGAATATTGAAAATGGAATTACTGAATCGAATGTTTGGGTTACTCAAAACAGAACTTTGTGTTATTACCTACTTTCTAGGATTTTAATTATTGATGTCAAATTTTGAAAAGAAAATCGCATGAAAAGTGTCAGGTGTCAAGTAAAAACAGGTAACAAAGATTTTGGGTGTAATCGACTTATTCTCATGAAATAAAATTGTGTTTTTTTATTATAAAATGCCAGTAGAAAAAATCTTGTATACAATACGTTACGAAACGATGTCTTTTAGTCACGCGACGTGAAAATTGTCCAACGAGGCAAAGCCGAGTTGGACAATTTTCACGTCGCGTGCCTAAAAGACGCTCATTTCGTAACTTATTGTATAAATAGCTATTTCCTACGAGCGTGCGCAAAGTAGTACTTTTCCGCACGCATTACCGTTCTCAAAGTTACACTTTTCCGCACTTAGTGCGGATATGGCCCGTATCCGCACTGAGTGCCGAAAAGCAGAAATAATTGTGTTTGAAACACTCGAGTTACTCGCTCCGGTGTTTAGTCGCCCCCGATTTGCAGGGAACAGATTAAGGGTACAACAAACACTTTTTGAAAGGAATAAGCGCGTGATGCCCCGGAGCTGTTCCGGAGCTCCTCCTAGGTGGGAAAGGAATACAACTAATATAGGGTTGCCAACCCTCCCGATTTAAGCCTAGTACTCATAACTGCGAAATTCGCACTTTTTTGACATTGCTTTGACAAATTGACGTTTTATGCGTGAATCAAACGTCAAATTTTCGAAGCAATATCAAAAAATTGCGAATTTCGCAGTTATGAGTACTAGGCTTTAGGCGGGAGGCTCCCGCTTTTTTACTGAATCTCCCGCCTCCCGCGCACTTACACACAACTCCCGCTTTTCCCAAAAATAGAAATTACATGAAATAATAATTCTAAATTAGGTGCTCTTGTTCACTTCTACCATAATTTTAAATAATTTTAATACTTCTTTATATATCTGCAACACAGCGCAACCGGGGTGCATTATATTACGATTAACGTCGAGGCGGGAGCCAGGTGAGCTTTGATATTATTTGCATCTTTCTTTATTTCCAATTCCAAATGAAGACAGAACTACTCGAGACTGAGAGCGTAGCTCGTTCGGGTCTGTGTTTGGTCTGAACCGCGAAGGTATAGCTTTTTTTCATCCCAGCAGGGAACCGTAGATTTACTATATTTCACCGTCAGGATTCTGCGCAAAAAGTAAAATTTGTGCGTAGAATCTGAAATTCGTATACAGTGTGGTTTCAAAACTGTTCTTGTGACGGTTTTTTGGCGGGTTTGAACAGACCTTATTAGTTGTATTCCTTTCACAC